TTAATTATGACACAAAAAAGCAAAAGTAGACTACCTATAGGAGCTTGCGCACAAGTTTGAACATTTATCTAGCGGAAACGACTATTGAGAGGTCTCAAATTTGCATTGTCGAGACAAAGATAGAACAATCGCAAGCCCTTGCAGTTCCGTGTACGTATACAGTGATGTGGAGCTGGTGAGTGCGTACGAGTGCATACAAGGCATGGGAGTCCACTCTCTTATCTTCGACCATATATATACATGAATTGCTCAAGCCTACTCTTTATACACTGAGCAGGGCCCCCAAGTTCTACTCTTGCGACCATGAAGCCCGATTTAATTCGAGCCCGCAAGGTTTGGTAGCGCCAGTGTCACTCTTTTACGTACTATTAAGTTCATATTCTGTGTAAGTTTATTCTATGATGTATGCACCCGGCAAAATTTGAACTCCACCTCACTCCATATAGCCATATTTGGTTACTGGGATCTACTACGAACATACGAACGTTTTCAATTGTTTCGAAGCTAACCGCACCATCGAGCGTAATCGATAATTCACCCATTGGAATACATTGGAACGATTGGATGGATTTCAAGGATTTTACCAAAGACATGGACGATAAAAAACGGTAAATAATTAATTTGATAAAAATATTAAAGAATTATATAAAATGATTTAAGCCGGATTTTGTTAATATATATATAAAAGTCGTATATAAAAGCTCGCGCTTTCTTTTTTAATTTCAACTAATAAACTTCAAATAAATTTCAAATAAAAAAAATTTCAAATTCCGAAGAGGGGAATTGCGTCTTCAAAGGTGTCTGCATACTTTTTCGTCCCAGTGTACATTATTGATTGGAATCATACCTAGATAAAATTTCGAAATTATTGTTTAATTATTAACGTTTTCTTTATTTAAATTTATGTTTATAGATGCCACAAAGTATTCGCAATCATCGGCTGCAACGGCAGCAAGAAACGCATGTTCGCGTTCCCCTGTCTGCTGAAGGACAAAGACAGGTACTTGCAGTGGATAGCACTGTCAAGAAAGGAGGATTTTCTCCAGCTTCTCCCAAAGGTAGTGAGGAACAAAGTGTTATACGATATTCACTTTGAAAATCGCTACCGTTTTACAAAGAACCACACGAGGGATGCACTACCAACCTGCAACTTACCAGGTAATAATTGATTGTACACTTTTTAATGTATATTTAACAAATTTTTAATGAAAATATTTAATAAATTCTATTAATATCAATTAGCACCTGCTGCATCTGCCAAGCCACAGGGGGAAACTGGAATGGAAATTAAAGAAGAAGAAGAACATAAGTTTTTGATCTCTATACATATGATAAAATAATACCCATAAAAAACTTCAAAAAAGTAAAAAAAATTACGCCAAATACATGAAAAAGTGGAGGACTCAAGGAGTTATCATAGAAAAATAAAAGATTCCCATAAAAATGTACAAGAAAGTAAAAAAAGATGTGAAATCAAAATGAGCTGCCAATACATGAAAGTCCTTTCCAATAAAGTGCAAAGACGACACTGTGTATAACACAATGTAAAATTCGCTGGTTTCCAACTATGCGCAGCTAAAATGCTGTGTTCAACAGTGCGGACGTTCAGATCCTAATGACAATTCATGTAAAGTGACTGCTCCACACTTTAGCGGTGACACGAAGAAGCTAAATAGCGTATCATCCACAAACTGAGGCTGTTTAAAAATTTGCCTTGATGTCCGCGGTCTGGAAGTCAAATGGTTGGCGTTTAGATATTTTAGAAAGAGAGTCGCTCCTTGCCAATTTTACATACTCGACTTTCTTATACATACTTTTTGTCGCATACTACAATACTAATATTTAATATATCAATTTATTACGAATTTGAAAATGTATGCTGTTATTAATAATCAAATATAACAATAGTAAATGTAAAATCTAATCTTTCCTGTTATTATTTTTATTTTATAAAATGACAAGTATGATACACTGAACAAACGCAAGCGCAGAATGATATGTAATATAATAAATAATTTATACTTCCCTGATATTTGTCAATTCTTTCTTGCATATTAGATCATTTTGTGTAGCAATCATTTTATCATCATTTTCTTATACATATGTATTTTAGCGTGTTATCTTTTAACAATTCCCCATATTCCAAAATAATTTTAATGTAAAAATCAAATACAAGTGTAACACACACTTAAAATTAATAATCTATAAGAGTCTCATCGTTAGACGTCTGCTCGGAGAAAGGAGAGTACGGGGGTTTGTTCCTGGACGCTTGTCGCTTGTCCGATGTTAAGAATCGGTGACAATACCTGGATCCCTCTTGAGCCGAAAAAAACAGTTTCTCCTAGACAGTACCGTTTGATGCAGAGGAAAGTGAACAATATTTACCTTCAAATGTTCGTCGTTTTTTTTGCTAGACAAAATTTCCGTTTTTATTATAATGTTCCCTCTCTCCCTCCCCCTTCTTTTTTTTTTTATACGTGGAGAAATGCATTTACGCACACCCTCTCAAACGGAGGGGGTAGTGTGGGGCTCGCCCCTCAGAAGGAGAGGAATACCCACTAAAACTCCACCAAAATAAATATTAACAAAAACAATCTTAGCATTCATGAAATGTTACATGCAGAAGTTTATTACAAGCATGCAACATGGGCTCGCCCCTCAGAAGGAAAGGAATACCCACTAAAACTCCACCAAAGTAAATATTAATACTACCAATTTTTTACGTATTTCTACATAGCTATTAATTATTCGATACAATTTTCCTGCTTTTGGCCGCTTCTTGCGCTTCAATGATGTACTGCGGTTCCCGAATTGGCATGCTTCTAACAACTCTACTATCTATTATTTCGGGAACCAAGCAGTCCTCGTAGAATCGTTGTAACATATTGCAAAAATACAATACTTTCTTTGCATCCGAACGATGACACTCGGACTATTACGATTAAAAATCATTTCATTTTTGAAATAAGGGGGGTGCATTCTGTTATGTTCCGAATCGCTTTGCCCCACGCCCCTCCTTATGAATACGCGTATGAACGAGGTGGCTCGTTTCTTCTACTCCTTTTCCTGTCTTACCTTATAGCTTGGCTTATCCATTGACTGTTGAAGTAGGTTGTGGCCTTGAATAGGCCAGGGCCCTGGGGTTTCTTCTCCTATGTTTATATAAGCGAGGAGGAAATAATGACAAGAATGCATCGATGTCATTGATCCCTCTTTGGTTTTAGGCACGTGCAAGAAATAAAGTTCTTTTTTAAAGTGCTTTTTTATTTGTACTTTTCAGCCTACATTCGTATGTTATTTCTACCGTCTCGATTGTCGGTATTTTGTAAGTTATAGTACAGTTATCTGAAATTGTAAAAAATCTTTGAATTTACTGCCATTCAGTGGTGAACTTAACATATTTAGATTTGCTTGTTTCGCTAACTTCCGGAGAAAGGCGTTTTTCCAAATTCAAAATTATTAAGAACTATTTACGTTCTACAATGAATCAAGAATGGTTAACTGACTTTTCAATTATGTCTATTGAGAATGACATTCTAGATACATCAAGGAATCAATACACAAGGAATCCATCGGCGTAACTCCCATAATAATACGATGCATATGAAGTGAAATCGGGTGATCACTGAAAGCCATAAACCAAGGGTTGAACCATCCAAAGTGCACGTGTGCCGATTTTAACCCACGACGCGACGGACCTCAAAGGGTCCGAGCAATAAAGTGTGAAATGTTTGTCATGATATGTTCACTTTTTGTTGTATTTTATAAAAGTTAAAGAAACAAATTGCACTACTCTATTCCTGATGTTATACTGATGAAAATGGTACCAAACACTATATAATATCGATTAATTTTAATTATTCGTGTAATATAAATTCTACATATCACGCTGTTATGCAGCAGAAAAATCTTAAATTAATCGATATTATATCGTGTTTGGTATGTGTATGTTCTGTCCGATGCGGAACGGTAGAAATCTTCGACGGATCGTTTATGACATGGACGTACCAATCAACTTATTTTCGAGATTAACTTTCTTTCGAACTTCAGTTACGGTTTTTACAGCGCACAATTTCACCCTTCAGAATAGTAAAGTCATTTAGTCGTTTGGAATTCTTTGGACAACAGTTTTAGCAGTCTACGCGACTACGACTAGCCGTTTCGTCTCTACAATATTTTATACGGTGTACAGTTATTCTTTATATTTTTCATTTTTCTTGTGAGAAAGGAACGAGTGAGAAGGAAGTATGTGTGTGATAATATGTAAACGAGCGCAAGGAGAGGACGAGAGTTAGTTGGACGACGTGTAATCGAAAAGAAACACCTTTTCGTTTAGAAATAAGCAATTGTCTACTTTAGTTTTAGCCAGGGTATCATAAAGTCGTGTTCCAGATGGTCTCTTAGAATTGACAAACCTCTGCAGAAGACAATAACTTAATAACTAATATCCCCAAATTCGGTTTATTGCACGCAGGTACACAAACGCGCCGTAGGCTGGCATGCTATACGCTAATAAACCGGCCTGTTTCGAACCAATAATTGCTTCTTTTTTTGAGTTCATCGATGAATAACTGCACCCAGGTACAAAGGGTATTTAGGGTATGTAGCGTTATTGCGAGGGAAATCGGACATTTTTTGGAGTAGCATCTCAGATTTTGACGAATATGTTATAGTCTTTAATGTTGATATTTAAACGTATTTCAATCAGGGATGGGCAAAACCCTAGGCTTCGAATAAACCTGAAGTTTGCCGATGTGTTTGTCTCGTTTCTTTCTTTGGAAAATGTTCAAAAGAGGAAACGAGACAAACATGTCGGCAAACTTCAGATTTACTCGAAGCTTAGGGTTTTGCTCATCTCTGATTTCAATGAACTTTGAAACAGGATAGAACTCCCCAAACTCTTGTAAAAAGGCGTGTGCAAGAAGTTATAATAACGATATAAAAAATGTTATGGATATAAGGACTTGAAAGGTGCACGAAGTATTCTGGTGGACCTGTTCAATAGTTTTATTTTTTCTATTTTTTTCTACGAAGAGCACTCTTTTGCGTTCCATCGCGTTCGAGCGGTGGAGGACACAGCGGCAGCCGAGGAGAATGGCATATATACATAGTATAGTAATAGGCACGCGCTACGCTACGTTATTACTACTTATATACATATACATTACTGTATACGTTGAATTCTCCGGTTTTCCCAATTTTTCTCCGTTTCTCATTATCCGATCGAAACATTCGACGTCTCATTCTGTAGGTATTTTCATCATCTACATTTCATCTGCTTCGAGGATTGATATTGCTGCATTACTTTAAAATTTATACGCAAAAAACGACAAAAATCAAGATTTTCTTGGATTAAATTGTTTATAAGAAGAAAATGGAACAGAGTTGAGAGTGAAAAACATATACCTATTCATCTACGCATCCCTTTTATTAGTACTTTGTCAGCAAAACGCTGTTTTAATTCTCTACCGATTGGCCTAGTTGTATTGTTGACGATTGGAGGAAAGTTGTTTTTGTGACGTATCTCGTGCCTGTATCGGGACAAACGATGGTGCTGGAAAATTCGTTTGGAAAATAATGAATGAAGAGTTTTATCTAGGCTGTTTGAAGTTTAAGGGGTTAGTCGCAGTCAGGAAAATGGAAACGGACAGTTTCTTGTGTGTTTTTTTTAAGGTATTAAATAATAATTTTTATTAATGAAATGTACATATATTACAAAGTATGTCTTAAAGAATTATAAAAGAATTTTTGTTTTAAGAAAAGGTTAATTCATTTCGTCATAACAGGCGATGGCGTGGGTGGCCACTTGCTTTGCGGTGAGCAAGATTTCTTCAAACTGGCACACCTGGAAACATAACTAAAGGTAGATTTAGAAAATATATTAGACTAACGGGTCCCTGAACGAAGGATTTTTTATTTTCTTGTATACTTTTTTTTATCCTGTATTGAACCGCTTAATTTTAGTGAAAAAATTGAAAATCAACTTTAAATGTGGCCATCTTGTTTTAAATTAATTTTTTGCAAAATCCTTCGTTCAGGGACCCGCTAGACTAACCTATTTTTGAAATCTACCTTTGTTTTTGTTTTCAGGTAAGCCAGTGTCGAGAAATCTTGCTCACCGCAAACCTACGTTTTTAAATCATCGTCTACGTCATCGGCTGTTATGACGATATAAATTAAACGTTTCTTAAAACAAAAAATGTTTTTTAGTTCTTTAAAACATGCTTTGTAATATACTTAATTGCTACTTATGCAAATTATTATTTAATAACTAAAAAAAAAATCACAAAGAAATGTCGTTTTTCCTCATCCTGACTGCGACTAACCCCTTAAGCAGAAATACCCACAATCGTATTGTCATCGTGGTGTGAAGTTGTATA